GGCCCGCCCCGTTTTTGGCGGGCCAATGGCGGGCCGGGCCAAAACGGGCCGGGCTGGCCCGTTTTGCCATCCCTAATTTTTGGAGTGTCTTGAAAGTGTCTTTGATACACAACCATCTCTCCTTAAGAACCCTAATTTTCGCTAGACTTGGTGGAAGTGGTCCTTGATTGGTCTTTGGTACCTCTCAAGCTTTTACCTTAGGGATCCGTTAGATAGTTTTTAATTTTTTGCAAAAATTATTTTGTCTTTAATTACTTGCTTCGTCTAGATTAATCATCACATCAAAAATCACAAAAATATTTTCATTGAAAAAGGTTTTTAGGTGAGGATTAACTACAAGGAGGATTAATAATTTTTACTTGAAGAGGCTTGGTTATTAAGTGGCTCTTAGTAGCTCACCTCCCTCCAAAGTTCAATTTGTATACTTAGTCCTCCAAGTACTTAGTTCAAACCTTCAAAAATTGCTTTTCAAAAGTCTTTTATAAAAGAAAACCTTTCACCTATAATGGAAGAATTTTCTACTCCTTATAGTAATAGCAATTCAAGTGCCTACAAGGATATTTCAAAGGTAGCACATGAATTAAGATCACTAAAAATTTGGAGAGAGCAAGAGGCCAAGCAAAGACTTAAAGAAAAACTTAAAAGAGAGGCCCAACTTGCACTCTTGGAGGAGGAAATTCGGATATTAAAGGACAAGGAAGAAAAACTTTTAGCAAAAGAAAAATTGAGAAAAACAAGAGAAAAAGAAAGAAAAGAGGCATTATTCTTAGGGGAGAGTAAGGAGAAAAATATTTCCTCTAAAGGACTTATGAATGAAGGTGCTTCCACTAGTCATGAAGTAGAGATTCTATAACAAAATATTTTAAAGAAAAATGAATCTCAACTTCAAGATGTAATGAAGGAGTGGACTACACTTAGTTCTACTTCTTGTGCTACTTCCTTGGAGGTGCCCAAGGAAGATAGCCTCCCTCTCTTTAGGACTCCTTCTACCTTAGTTATTCTAATAAAGCATCCAAATTTTGGAATATATTGTTTAATAGATACATCTTGTCATATTTCATATTCTATTTTTGATCTTATAAGAAGTTCTTCTTTATTTGAACTTAAATTGCATCCTTCTCTACAAGACAAAAATAGTTTATATGAATTCTTAAGACTTCACAAGACATTATCTTTTGACAAGTATCTAACAAGCAATATGATTCAAAATTGTTTAGGAAGTTTTCTTTTTGTAGTGTTTTTGAGAGCATGCCTAGAACACCATTTAGGGTACTTTAGGCAAGAAATTGTAGTTTTTAAAAATTATTCTTTCCATTGTATTAGTATTATTACATTTTTAGGATTTCCTGCTAGGTTGTGCTTAGAAGAAGAATCTATTTCCACTTTTAGGGAATTTAATTTTGTTAGGATAGATGGAAGAATTCCTCTTAGGATTCCTTTTAGGATACACCACCCATTTGCTTCAGATGCACATATCACCTCTAATACATGGTATTTTGTGCATGTAGGTGATGATTCCCATCATATGGATCCTCGTGATTTGAGAACAAATCCTTTTCAAGAGGGAGGGAATGATGGAATCATGCCTAGGAAGGCAAGGGGTGACACATTGGAAGAGCCAAGAGGAATGGGCTAGACATGAAGGTTTGGGTCAGTCAAGGCCCAATGGGCCCGATGGGCTTGAAAGGCCCAAGATGAGCTTCTCATGGGCCATATTTGGTTTTAGCTATTTTCCTTATATCTTGTATATATCATGTTAGTATAGGTTTCCTATATTTTGGGACTTGTATTTTGGACCATCTAGGATAGCATTTTAGGCTATAGGCTTATTAGGCCTAGTTTTGGGCTTCATGGGCCTTTGGGCTTTTGGTACCCAATATTGGGCTCATTTCAATTCTTGTAATTTTTCTTTTCCATTGTATTTGCTTGGCCATTGTATTTAGGCCATTAGAATAGGAATTTAGAAGGATTAAGTAATAAAGCAGGAATCGTAGAATGTTAATTACATTTAGGAGTAATTAGAGTTTCATTTGAGTCACATGTTTTGTGCCAAAGGTAGCTGCACATGTGTACATTCAAATGAACCCTAAATTACCTCTAAATGCAATTAAGAATCTAGAAGGAAGGGCTGCACATGGGTTAGGATAAGTGGACGTCCAATTTGAATTCAAAATTGGTGCCACTTTTGAGTGCACAACATGTGATGGCTCCAAAGACTCCTTTGATCCGTGGCTTTAAATGCTTGACTCCTTCTCTAGTGTAAATACTTTGGAACCTTTAATGAGAATTTACTCTTTGATAATTCTCTCCTCCGAAGTCTCCTTTTGATCCTAGCTTCTACCCTACTTGAGATCTTCTCCTTGTAGAGCTAGGATTCCCACACCTTCTATCCGGAATAGATAGGTGAACCTTGGATACACTTACCTCTTCTTCAATTCTTCCAAGGATCCGAGAAGAGGTTTCATGAAGCATCCATGAGGTTTTCTTCAAGAAGAACCTCATCAGGAACTCTTGTTCCATACTTTCCTTTACTGGTAACTGCATATTGTATGCAAGATGCCCACTCAGAAACAGATTTGGTAGGAAAAAAGGGTAGTGGTGTCTATAAATTCGGTTAAAATGTCTTATAATAAGAAATGGAAGGAGTACCACAGAATTATCTCATCACTAGTACTAAATACAACTAGATATCATACTGATCCACATCCATCAATATCTAAAACTGAATATATCTCTAACTAAAAATCACTAATCAAGAAATTATATAATACCAAATCAACAGCAAAGTTCAGATGCTCATCCCAGAACTCCTTTTCAATACATTAAAGCAACATGAAACTAGCTGATCAAATCCTCAAGTTGAAATTCCAAAAGAGCATATTGCAGGGAAAAGAATTTCTGTACAGCTTATATCTAAAGAAAATTTTAGATATTCAACCATGGTAATACTAATAACAAAATTGAACATCGGTACTTAACAACATGAACATCAATTGAAACAACTATAAGATCCTGCAGAAACAATTTTTTCTCAGGATAGAAGCATCTCATGTTTTTCACTTTTGCTCCATAGAACCTATAAATGATGGTGTTGAGAACTTACTTTCTAAGGCATTCATCATAATTTTTTATAACGAAAATTGAAAGCTATGCACAAACATTAAGAAAAAATTACGTATAGCTCTGTTATCGTCTGAAATTGTTTACTCAAGTCATCTGAGAAAGGATAACGATTTGCTCCAAAAGCATCACATATTTTCAGAATTTTACTTTTAACTCTCTCTCCATAATAAAAGACAACAAATACATTTTTATGAACCTGTAAAAAGGGGACTATGTCTTTATTGACCATAAAACACTAAGATAGTAGAAATGACCAGTAGCAATAGAAGAGTAAATTTCCAGAATCAGAAAAGATAATTATATATAGAAATAAGTCAAAACAACATCTTCTTTCATCTAAGTTCGCAGCTTTTTTTAAAAAAAGGAGGAACTGCGATGATCTAGTGCTCATATTACTTATCTAAATTTCTGCAAGAGGTTAAAGATTTAACTTTAAAAATTTAATTAAAGAAGATATTAGAATTTAATCATTTCGTGATTTATGCCAAAGCTTCATATCACGATAAGGTAGAAGAAAAATCTGTAATAGTCTGGTTTTATCATCATAGAAACTAACTAGACCTAGCTTAGCTAGTTAATTGTACACTCGTGACCAAATAGCTGTTCCACTTGAAAGAGAGGCAGTTAATATACCTTTTGAGAGAAGATTAAATTTTCAGTACTCTTGCACCTTTTATGCTTTTATGATTAGTATTTTTTTTTAGTAGAAAAGACTAAAACCATAGAGGCCTCAATGACTACTAATTAAAACCACTCCATTATTTAAATGATAAACATACTCAAGTTTAATTAGATTTCACTAGGAAAATGATAAACCTGAACCTGGAATGCTTTTGCAAAATGGAACTTCACTACTACAGGAAACAGTGTGATTTTCAGCCTTGCCCTCTAATTCCCCTTCAAACTGGTCATTGATATCAACATGACAATTGCCTTCTGAAAAAGTCACAGTTCCATCCCCCACAGAGGAATGATTATAAAGGCATGCCTTGTCCATGTAACCACCATTACTATTTCCCTCTAATCGAAATTCCTCATTGTTGTAACTAAGCTCCAAATTGCCATGTTGATTTTCCGTTTCTGCTGTCATGACAATCTTTCAGACGAAGAATCAGAATCATTCTGAGTCTGGGACGAGGAACGGATTCCATATGGATTTATGAATTCTGCAAAAACAACTAGGTTTTAGGGTGTTCTATTCTCCCACATTAGCGAATGACACGCACCACTCAACCAAATTGATATTTCCAGAAATCACTAAATCATATATTTCTGACATAAATTAACGATTAACATTTGCATCCACTAGAACATAATTCCTACATAAACTCCTAAATACTGAATATAGTATGCAATTGAATTGTGATTGACAAAACCAAACACAAGAATTCAAATCCTGGTGATCAATTACGCGATTCAAATATATAAACTGAAAAAAAGAAAAAAAATAACATAAAAAAAACACTAAAAAAATCCAAATCCAATTCAAGAATAGCAACAGCAGAGTAGAAAAATCATAATACATTAACTAACTAACTGTTGAGGTCTCCGTTACTTCGAACGGAGTGTCATCACTAATCACTAATCAGTGGTCAATTACCAGCACATGCAAATTGAGCATTAGCACCAAACAATTGAATTGAATTCGAATAGTGAGAGAGGCTTTGGTGTTAGGAATATATGCAGAAGAGACGCAAGAAGTGGAGGAGGCTGAAACAGATATTCTGAGTGTTACTGTAAGATACTTTAATCAAACTAATTCATACCAGCAGGTAAGATACTTTAATCAAACTGTAAGATACTTTGAAACAGAATGAAAATCATGAAAAAACTATTTTAATAAGTAACAACAATCAAAATCTAAGTTTATATATGCTATGCTGTCAGAAATTAATTGGAAAATCTAGAAGTTCTAACAAAGCAGGACAACAAACTAATAGAGAATTGTTTCCTGCTTATGTCGGCAATGCTCATTTATCTATATGAAAAAGAAAAAAAAAATATAGAGCTCAAAAATATCTAGAAACAGTTATCCATTTTTCATGTATTTGATCTAAGTAATGTTTTCCAAATCAAACTAATTATTGAACCGGTCAAGGCATTGGGTTTCCAAAATCTGAGAATAGGATGTTTTTATGCATATCTAGTACTTGCATGAAGATGATAACTCTTATTAAACATTACCTGGTGTGCATTACTGCACAGCCTACCACTTTCCATTGTATGTATTTCCATTTTCATTCACAGTATTGAAATTTAGAAACAAAGGTCGTTAGGGATTTCACAAATTGGAAACGCGAAGAGAAAGAGAGAGAGGGTTACCGATTGAGATTGCGGTGATTTTGGCGCGGAAGTGAATGCCTGCGGTGCTTTGTTCTTCCTACCTGGGAGGAGTTTGCGGAAATGAGGGTTTTGCGAAAATCAAAAGCAAAAAGTTGAAATTGAAACGTACCAAGCTTGCGAGAAGCTGGCGTGTGCTTCACTCTCGCCATGGGATTCAGTGGAAGAAGAAAACTAAACGAATCGAAGCTTCACTCTTCTGCGCGAATTGGTTTTCTCCAGTTTCTCCTCTTGCTCTTGCATGTTGTTTCCGATTGTTAGTGAAATTGTGAATTTTTCAAAAGGGAAGTTACTCGCACAGTTAGGAAAGGGACTTCGTTTTAAAAATGTTTTTCTTTTAAGTTTAATTTTAATAAAAATATTTATTGAACGTTTTTTAAAACTGCCAGAAAGTGCCAATACCTGTAACACTTACCTTTCCTGCGATTTCAAACCGCCAAAAAGTATCAATAATTTATTACTATTACCAACCTTGCAACAAATGTAACATTTTTTGATAGTTTATAAAAATTGCAAAAAAAAAAACAATAATAATTACCTATTCTTTTGTAGTGGGTTAAGGGAATGAGGAGGGTATGAAGAATTCTCCTTATCTTTGTTGGTGATTCTTATCAGGAATAGGTCTTATTTTTTTTGTTTTCTTTATAAAGTCCTTCTATCTCCTTGCACAAGGAATTTCCTCTGCTTTCCTAATTTTTAGTACATATATTTCAGTGTTCTTTTATTTTTGTTGTTGGTACCTATCAACTTGGCAAAAATACATGGACAAGGAATAATTCATGGGGACTTAACACTAAGTAACAGTTTCTTTGATGCTCACAAATATATTAAAATTTGTGATTTTGGACTTGGTAAGATCCTGATTCGTTACTTGTTTATTTTCTTTCTCTTAATGTATATTCCCAATATTTACTCTATCTAGCTAATTGTAACAATGGATACCTTCAATATGTCTGATCGTTGCTCAAGAAATGATGATCAGAATTCTTCATAGACCAAGAAGTATGTAGGCTAGTAAGTTTTCCAATTTTGATTGTAAAGTTTGTTTATCAATGTTGCATTTCTATATTTGTGATTAAGATCAATAGTAAATACCTGTGCATGTGTGCAATCATTTTTCCTAGATTGTTGCTCCACTTGTTTACACAGTGGCATTATGTACGAATCTCAGTATGGTTTCCCTATTTTTTAATAGAGAATAAAATAAAATGATGCCCTCTAAAATATGAGCATACTACTTTGTCAGGATTTAGTAGTTGTTTGCAGATGCAACATCAAATTTTCTACTCCCCCACCCTTCCTTTTCTACTGATACAACTTGAGTTGATGGCACTAGATAAGTGGGAACTATATTTCTATACAGCTCCTGAGATTTAGCAAGGATATCAATGGCCCAAAATTGATGAAGTGGTGTATAGAATTCATCATTAATTTATTCTATTAAGTTGGTTCATACTTATTGGGTTTAGTTGGGTTAAAAGCTAATGTATACAGCCTAGGAGTGGTTTTCTTTAGTTTTGGCACCCATTTGAAACAGCAGTGGAGAGACATTTTATCTTATTTAATACAGCAAGGGAAAGTTCCACCTGCTTGGATTTTCAGTTTTTCACAAATAGAAAAAAGAGATTAAATGCATGATTTTGGTAATGAGCTTCTGTTGTTTATGATATTAGCTTCTCCATATTTGATCCCACCACTCCTAGCTATGTTTCATCTCATATTTCACTTTTATTTATGATTGTTTTGTGAAATTTGGTTGACTTTTTTTTTCCAGCTACCATGAGTTGAGTAACTTGTCTTACATTCCCTAGTCAAGGATTGTTGGTTACTCAACTTTAATTCAACTATGTTCCACATAAAGGCTTTGTTGCATCGGTAGCTACATGTTGGTAACTCTAGTCTTTCAGTACCACCAACACCTAGATGCAACTGTAGATGAGGAATAAGCTTGAGTAATTGTTGAACTTTGTTCTGCTTCTACTTCTTGTGATATTGGTCTTAATCTTATCTTATTTTTTGTCTTTATATATAAATACCTTTTCAAGGGTTTAATTTGTTCTTTGGCTATTTACCTTCTTATGACTATTGTAGTTTAACTTAAGATAAATAACTTTTGATATGTGATATAAATTTATTGATGACTAACTTAGGATATCTTTTCTTGTAAAAATAATAAAAATTAAGATATCTTCAACCTTAAAGAACATGTAGATAAGAATCATAGAATATAAGTGATAGTACAATCTATATTAAAATTTTTTATTTTATAAAGTTTACAAAATTGAGAAATATTATTAAAATGTTTCAAAATATTATTTGGTAACATTTTTAAAAATTTTGTCATTAATATGTAAAATATTACTAAAAGTCCTTAGTAATACAGACTTTATCTTACATTTGATAAATTATCACAAAAACATATTAGTAACATATACTCATAATATGACAATATTTTTTTAATGTCGCTAAAAACATACATTGTAGGGACATTGCACAATTTATTTTAAATATGTGGAATCCATCATTTTCAAATTATCTTTTAGATTGAGTTTCACTATCTTTTAAGATAGATACAAGTATTTTTTCAACAAGTTACTTCTCGCTCAATCGATCCTAGGTATTTTTTGACTTGTCTCTCTAAGTAACTACTTATGTATTTTTTCACAACAAACCTTTCTAAACTTAACAATCGAGTATTTTTTTACCGACAAGTTTCTCTAGGCTCAAACTTACAACAATGCTTTGTAGCATAGTTTTCAAAATCGGACCGGTCATCAAACCGGTTAGGATACTGGGTTAGTGGGTCAAAGGTTGAACCGGTGGGTCACTAATTGAACTGCATGACCCAATTTTTATTAATTTTTTAAAAAAAATATTCATGTTAAATATATTTTATATTTATAAATTTTAATAAATTCATACATATTTTAAATTTCAATTTCCATCTTATTTAAAATTATCTTTATTTTTTTTTGTATAAAAAAACACAGAAAAAATTACATGTTAAACTGTATATTAATACAAATTAAAAATATAAATAATATGTACATATATAATATGTTTGCAGTTGATATCACAACATAATATATGTAATATCTACATAGATATTATATTATTAAATGTATAATTTAAAATTAATAATATACTATAAAAGTTATTTAAGTTGCATATATTACAAACAAATACATTAGAATAAGTAGTCATTGTTATGTTTAATAAGACTCTTTTCTCTTTCATTAACAGGATTCAATTCCCATTGTTATTTTTGTGATTTGTGGTCCCTTAAAAAAATAAAAAAAAATTGTGGTTAAACCCACCGATTCACTGGTCAAACCGGAAAATTGACCAATTCACTCCGGTTTAAAACAGGTCAAATGCATAACCGATCCAACTCAAGGCTCGGACCGATTGGACCACCGGTTCCCGGTTCAACCGGTCTGATCGGCCAGTCTGATTCGGTTTTTAAAACGCTACTCTCAGGTCACTTTTTCCAGCAGTGCAGCCTATTGTTAAGTTAGTGTTGGAGTTGAGGAAGGGTTTTGTTGAGGTGGAGACTGGAAAGAATATGTTCTGTGTGAAGTTTGCTCTAGGGCCTAAGAAGCAAAGTTTACCTAGTTTCCTTGGAAAGCTGTCTTAAGGTTTTCCTGGTTTGGCTAGTCTTTTTTTTTTTTTCTATAGTAAGTAGGTCATACAGTTTTGCAACCTAATGGTCAAGAAGAGCTAAAATTCGGACTTTATGTTATGGTGTTTTTTGTTGTTATGAAATTAGAACCAGTTTATGGTAATGCAATGCTATTAAATTATGGTTTTCATTTTGTTTTGGTATTTTTCTGTTTCTTTTCCTTTAGCATTTGGGGAGGTTACTGGATACAGATTGATGCAATTTTTTGCAAGCTGGTGTGATTAACTTGCTTGTGATTTCAGAACATGTCCTTTTCATATAATTTGTCAAAAGGATGATTTGCTGTCATTTTTATTCCTACTTTCTCTTTGGGACTCATTTCCTAAATCTTTTGTGTTTCCTTTTAAACATAAAATGTAAAAGGAAGAAGAAAAAAAAACTTGTGGTTACTTGGAGAGTTTAACTCCATTTAACCTCCTTTGTTGATAAATTCATTTTATATTTTTTCAGTAGGAAAAAAGGGTGGCATTTAGCAATGCTTGAAGGTCTTACTAGTAATTGGGTCAGAATTGGGCCTAGGCAAAATTTTGCATATTAGACTCATTTTGCTCCTAATTTTTCATAGATTTGATTTAGCTAGGTCTCATCATCATATGATGAACCTAACTAAACCAAATCAAATATTTTTGAATTAAATCATGGATCAATTTTTAGCCTTGGCCGCCTAGCTCATTATTGATCACTGATGTGCACATATGCTATGCAACCGAAAACTTTAAGATGTGTGAGTTTTACCTCCTTTCCGCTCCATACCTCTTCTGTTATTCTATACTCCAATGGTACCGATGGACCTCGGTTGATCAAGTATGCTGCTGTGTTGACTGCTTCTGCCCAAAACTGTTTTGGTAAGCCTGACTGCATACGCAAGCTTCTGGCTCTCTCAGTCAACGTTCGGTTCATCCGCTCAGCTACACCATTGTGTTGCGGTGTACCAGGCACGGTTCTTTCCATTCTGATTCCGTGCTCATAGCAGAACTTCTTGAATCTGGTGTCTTCATATTCACCACCATTGTCGGTTCTGAGCTTTTTAATCTTCAATCATGTTTCATTTTCAACCATGGCTTTCCATATCTTGAAAGCCTCAAATACTTCTGACTTATGCTTTAGAAAGTATACCCATACTTTCCGAGAGTGATCATCAATAAAAGTCACGAAGTATTGCTTCCCACTAATAGATGAGACAGTCGTTGGACCCCACACATCGGAGTGAACAAGCTCGAGTTTCTCCTTCTTTGGGGTTCTTCCACTTGTCTGAAAGCTGACTCTTTTCTGCTTTCCAAGTATACAGTCTTCACACATGTCAATTTCCACTGACTGAAGACCTGATAATTTTCCTTTAGAGTGCATGATCTTCATCCCTTTCTCACTCATATGGCCAAGTCTTTGGTGCCATAAATTGGGATTGTCATTTGCTGCAACTGCAATTAAATGACACGCTCCTGCTGTTTTGTAAAGAGTACCACTCTTTTTACCACGAGCAATCGTCATTGCACCCTTGGAAATCTTCCAATCATCACCATGGAAGGTCGTTGTGTAGCCTTCACTGGCCAACTGGCCTACTGAGATTAAGTTCTTCGTCAGGTCGGGAATATGTCTGACATTCTTCAATTCCCATACAG